TATACACACATGGTGATAAATCATAAAGTGTTGCTGCTAAGGTGCCAGTTCACACATGCCTAGATTTATTCCAGACAAAACATGTTTAAAATGTCTCTGACATTTGCAGTTCCCTCACATGGATAAGTCTTGTTACTGTACCTAAAAAAAACTGTGACTTCCAAAAAGATCTGCTGGACCACTTAAAATTCAAGGGAGAAAGGTCAGCTCAGAGGTTATGGCTAATGTTTGTGTGTGTGTGATTTCATAGTTAATACTGATAGGTTTTTTCCAATACTTCATTGTTGTGAAAAAGATCAGGAAAATCTCACCAAGGAAGTTCTCTTCTAACACAGCGATGCACCTGCATATCCTTTGAGGGCAGCAAGGGTGGTCCTATGAGAACATCATTAGGAAATGTGACCCTGTTCACGTGATTGCCTCGTCTTGCCCCTTCTGACTTCTCGTTCTTCTCCAAACTCAAAGGACATTGAAAACAGACTAGATCTGAGGCCCTCCAGGATGACACTATCCCCATTGTGATGTGGTATAAATTGAAGAGATGCATTCAGAGAATTTTCACAATACAGCATTTTCACAAATGTGTACCAAACATCAACTATTGGAAATAGGTCATTTGGACAGAAGGCTGCATGTTTTAGAAAAATAGTGATAGTGATGCTAATAATATTTCTAATTGATTATTTGACTTTTAAAACAGACTGTTCAGCATAACATATGCACATTTCGTTGTGTTTGCACGTAGTAAAATAGAAACGAATTTATCTCTAACATCATGTCCTATAATTAACAGAAATAATACAGAGACCCTCTGGGACCATAAAGAAGGCAATCGGTGTAGGAAAACCTTCAGCCATGGTTCAGATCTGATTGTGCTAGAGAGAAGTCTGTCAGAAGTAAACCCTTTGGGGTGCTGTGAGTTTAGAAGCGCCTGGGAGGATCACTGTTCACACCAGGACCACTGTACCGCATCTCCTCCTGAACGTGACATCGGTCGGTGTGAGCACGATGGAGAAGTCTGCAGCTGTCCCTCTCATCTGACCACTCCTAAGAGAACTGTTAACGGGAAAAAACCACCTAAGTGTAAGGTATGTGGAAAGGACTTCATTTATTTGTCAACACCTAAGAACCCTGCCGCAGCGCTCAAACATTGCTGTGAATGTGATCAGCGTGGGAAGGATTTCTGTGGTTTCTCAGCCTTTTGCACACATCTGAGAAGTCAAAAGCGTGAAGGTAAAGAATTTGGTAAGACCTGTAGTTCTTCCCTCAAGACACACAAAAAATTCCGTAACAGACACAAACCTTACGAATGTAAGGAATGTGGGAAAAACTTTATTTGTTCCTCACACCTCACTGAGCATAGAAAGACTCACAGTGGAGAGAGGCCCTATGAATGTAAAGAATGCCGCAAAGCCTTTAGTCAGTCCTCACACCTCACCAACCACATAAGAACTCACAGTGGAGAGAGGCCCTATCACTGTAAGGAGTGTGGGAAAGCCTTCAGTCAGTCGGCACACCTCACTAACCATCTAAGAACCCACAATGGGCAGAGACCTTATGAATGTAAGGAGTGTGGAAAAGCCTTCAGCCATGCCTCCTCTCTCACTGCACACATGCGGACTCACAGTGGAGAGAGGCCTTACGAGTGTAAGGAATGTGGGAAAGTCTTCAGGTGCTCTTCACATCTCACTAAACATTTAAGAACTCACAGTGGAGAGAGGCCTTATGAATGTAATCAGTGTGGCAAAGCTTTTAGTCATGCCTCATCCCTCACTTCTCATAAGAAAACTCACAGTGGAGAGAAACCTTACAAATGTAAGGATTGTGGGAAAGTATTTAGGGAGGCCTCATCCCTCACTAAACACATCAGAACACATAGTGGAGAGAAGCCTTTTGATTGTAAACAGTGTGGGAAAGTCTTCAGTTATTCCTCAGCCCTCACTATGCATAAAAGGACTCATAGTGGAGAGAGGCCCTATCACTGTAAGGAATGCGGGAAAGCCTTTAGTCGTTCTTATCACCTGTCCGAACACATCAGAACGCACAGTGGAGAGAGGCCTTTTGAATGTAATGAATGTGGGAAAGCCTTCAGTTGTTCCTCTGCCCTAAGTACACATACACGAACTCACAGTGGAGAGAGGCCGTATGAATGCCAGGAGTGTGGGAAGTCCTTCAGTCAGGCCTCAGACCTCACTAGACACGCAAGAACTCACAATGGAGAGAGACCCTATGAATGTAAGGAGTGTGGGAAAGCCTTCAGTCGTTCCTCATCCCTCACTACACACATAAGAACGCACAGTGGAGAGCGGCCTTACAAGTGCAAGAAATGTAGGAAGGCCTTTACACAGGCCTCAGCCCTCACTACACACGTGCGAACGCACAGCGGAGAGAGGCCGTATGAGTGTAAGGAGTGTGGGAAAGCCTTCAGGTGTTCCTCATTCCTGACCACACACATGCGGACTCACAGTGGAGAGATGCCTTATGAATGTAAGGAATGTGGGAAACTCTTCAGGCAAGCCTCAAACCTCACTACACATAGACGAATCCATAGTGGGGAGAAGCCTTACGAATGTCAGGAATGTGGGAAAGCCTTCAGATGCTCTTCACACCTCAGTACGCACAGAAGGACTCACTGTCGGGAGGCCTTGTGAATGTAAACTGTGTGGGAAAGGCTTAAGTCATCCCACAGACTTCACACAGAAGAACCTACAGTGAGTGGGTACACGACGCTGACGAAAGTTGGCTGTATTATTATTACGGGTATCATTTCAGACACTAAATTTCCAAAAGTCTCTGATGAAAGAATCAAGGTTTTCAGTGAATGAGAGAGCAATACTCACTCAAACAAGGAGTCAATATAGATGCTTTTGATTGCCAGGAAGGTGAGCAAGTTCCCAAGCACAGTTATCAGATACGTGGACAGAAACAGCCAAACAGTGGCCTCATCTCAAGGACTCCCAGGAGTACTGTGGCTTCCTGCTTCTACGTCAACTATCTGGTAAGAGTCAGAAAGAAGATTAAATTTAAAAACTAGCAGGCATCTCAGAAATGCCTTTAGTTTGAAGTACCCTGTAAGAAAGAACCCTAAATTAAAAACCAGCAGGCGTCTCAAAAGTGGCCTTAGGGAGAACCCAGTATAAGGTGAGATGATGTGTTTGTTTCATGGTCTCGTCTCACCTCCCATTGTCTCCACGTCTGCCTGCAAAACCTAAAATCCAAAGCATAGACATTCCCTGGTTCAGTGTCCTTGACATCCAACCAACAAGCTTTCTCCATCTTAGGTACACGCTTATGTGATTTAAAAATATCTGTATCGTAATAAAAGTACATGTACCCATAGACAGTTTCCATAGGCTAAAGCAGTCCTGATGTGGCGCTGTGGGTATTAATGCACCAGACTGCAAGGTCGGCAGTTCAAGCTCACCAGCTGCTCCTCAGAAACCCTATACAGGGTCGCTATGGGTTGGAACCGACTCAACGGCACATCACAACAACAACGAGGACTTCAAAACTACTTTCCACACACTTGACGGATGAAAATGGATACTGTTGTTGTTGTAAGTGCCGTCAAGTCTGGCTCAACTCATAGCATCCCTGTGTAGGGTTTCCAAGGAGTGGCTAGTGGGCTTGAACCACCTATCTTGTGGTTCAAACCAACCTTAAGGACAAGTGCTTATCCTATGGCACCATACCAGGACCCTAAAATGTATTCTAGAAGAAATTACCAGCTGAATTTAAATCCTACAGCAAACCTACCGCCCAGATGGCTGTTCTGAAATCCCACTGTATTTGCTTTCATAAAAATGTTTTATAGGGAATCTAAAAGAAAATAAGACAATAAAATTTAAAAAAATGTGTCTCTGAAATCATGTTGTTCTTGATACTAAAAGGCTGTAAAACACAAAAACACAAGCATAATAGCAGGACAGAAACCAGTGATTGATCTCTGTAATTCCATATATGGGAAATCGAAAAACACAAACTAGCAATAAAATATTCATAAATTTGTCAAGCAAAGCAGGTAGCATGTTCAGATAGTGTTCAACCCACGGAACCATAGAGCATTTTCTATTTGTAACTTATTTGTCTCATAGAGCACATGAGTAGAAAATCATAAAATCATTCTGAGAGGTGCCAAAGGTACTGTGTGAAAATGAGCAGTTTCTTACTGATGTTAAGGAAGCTTCTTCATAGCCATTGTTAAGTGGTGTCAAGTTAGTTCTAACCCACAGCAGCCCGGTAGAGTGTTTCCAAGGGGCAGCTGGTGAGCTTGAAATGCTGACCTCTGATTCAAACCAACTTTGCAGTCTAGCACATTAACCCACAGCGTCATACCAGGAGCCCTTAAAGGAATGCAAATCAGAACCACAGTTAACTGCTTGTAAGATGGCTGATACTTAAAATAAAAAGTCATAAATATTGACAAGGATGGATGTGGGGGTGCTGGAACCCTAATCCATTGCTGGTGGGTGTGCAAAATGGTACAGCCACTCTGGAAAACCGGCAGTGCCTCAGAATCTCAATCTAGAAATACCATGTGACCCATGAGTTCCATGCCTGGGTGGACACTGCAAAGACATGAAAGTACAGACATGTAACTAATGTGCATTGAGGATCTGTTCACCACAGCCAGAGGTAGGAACAAATGCCCATGAGAACGTGAATGGATCATCACACTGGGATACATTCATACGTGAAATAGGGAAACCAAGTCCTGATACATCCTATAGTGTAGTGTGGACAGAGCTGCAAGGTATTACACTGGGAGAACTGAATCTATATACCAAAAGGACAATATTTTCTTTTTTAAAATTCCCCTTTCTCTCCCCCCCCCACCCCCAGTTTCCATCATAGAAAGTTTATTACAGAATAAAAACTTTTCTTGATAGTTTACTGTAGTGGTCTCACACAATACCTGTCCCTCTACAATGGACTGATTCACTCAGCATCATGCCCTCCACATTATGCGGTGTTTTACAAACGCATCGTTAGTCTTCATTGTAGCACAAAACTCCATTGTGTATTTGCATCAAAGCCCTCCTTTGCTGATGGGCAGCTAGGCTGTCTCCATCTCGTTTCTATTCTGAATGATGCTGTAGTGAGCAGGGGGCGTGCATATATTTATTCATGTTACAGCTCACTCTTCTTGAGAATGTATACCAAGTAGATTACTAGATCAGACGGTATTTTTGTGATCCATAATTGTAGAAAATCTCAGAAGATTTTTAACCTTCGGAGAAAGTGCCATACCACATGCCACAACATGGTGGTTGCACCATTTCAGGTTCCTACCAGCATTATAGGAGTCCTAGTGCGGCGCTGTGGGTTAATGCGCCAGACTGCAAAGCTGTTTGAACTGCAAGGTTGGCAGTTCAAGCTCACCAGCTGCTCCTTGGAAACCCTACACAGGGTCGCTATGGGTCGGAACCGACTCGATGGCACTTCACAACAAGAACAACAACAGCCAGCATTATAAGGAAAGTCCTGCGCTCTCCACACCCTGGCTAGCATTTCTTTTTGTTTTTAACTTTGTTAATAATGCTGGGATAAGACAGTAGGGATCTCATTGTTGTTTTAATCTGCATCTATAATGACTCCTAGTGTGGAACTATAGGATCAGCACTGGACTGCTCACCCCAAGGTCTGTATTTCAAACCCATCAGCTGCTCCTCAGAAACCCTATACAGGCTCGATAGGAGTCAGAACCAATCCGACGGCACTTAACAATACCAACAACGTGTACTGATCATGAGCATTTCTTCATGTTTGTTGGTAGTCTGAATGTCTTCTTTGGGGAAGTGTCTGTTCATGTCCTGTGTCCTTATTCTAATTGGATTAATCGTCGTCTTCATAGTGAGATGTTGAAGTGTTAGTAGACAGGAGTCCCTTTTCTGATATGTCATTGTCAAAATTTTTTGTCTAGTGTGTTCTTTTGGTGAACTCTTCTGATGCACTTAAGTGTCTTAACTTTCAGGAGAAAATGACAAATGTTGTCTAATCTTACTAATATAAAAAGACAAGAAAGTCAAATGTATAGAGAACAAAGTATTTTAGTAGGTAGTAGGAGTCCTGGTGTGACACTGTGGGTTAATACGCTGGACTGCAAAATCGGTTCAAACTGCAAGGTCAGTGGCTCAAGCTCACCGGCCACTTCTCGGAAACCCTATACAGCATGGATATGGGTCAGAACTGACTGGAGAGCACTTAACAGCAGGGTTTGCAGAAGGGGAAAAGGGAAGTGAAGAGTGACGGAATGTTAGGTTAATTGTAGGGCAGCATGGGTGATCATTGTAAATGTCAATAAATTGTACACATGGAAAAAGTTGAATTAGCCAAGTCACATGAATACTGGGAAAAGAGTACTTCCTGAGATCTAGGATCATAGTTTCAAGGGATGTCACGGTTAATTGGTGTAACAACATTTTCAATGTGATTTCCCCATCCACCCACTCTCCCCACTTCCTAGTTCAAGGAGCTCTGGTAGCATAGTGGTTATGAATCGGACTGCGAGCCACAAGGTCAGCAGTTCGAAACTACCAGCTGCTCCGCGGGAGAAAGATGAGGCATTCTGCTCCCATAAAGATTTACAGCCTTGGAAACCCTGTACAGGGTCACTATGGGTTGGAACTGACTCCAGGGCACATAACAACAACAACTTCCTAGTTTAGGCCATAATGCCTAAGGTCTTAAAAGCTTGTGAATGGCTCTCCAAAGCACAGTGATCTGTTTCTAATCACTTAGAGTAAGAAAGAAAGGAGGGTTGGAATTGAAGGAGGACATGGAAGGGGAAGCTCACTGCCTCCATGAACACCAGCCTCCTTTGCTGTGAGACCACAAGAGCCACATTGTGCCTGGTAACATCAAACATTTGGATGACAGGTTCTATAGAAGAATCCTGACCAAAGGGGGGAAATTCAGAACACACTTGAAAATCCTAAGGGACTCAGTCATGAAAGTTGAACAAACACGAGATTGTTTTTAAATCTTAAACCAAAAGAATACTCAGAAACAGGTTAATGCACCGGACTGCAAGGTCGGCAGTTCAAATTCACCAGTCACTGCTTGGAAACCCTATAAAGGATCGTCATGGGTTGGAACCGCCAACACCAACAACGAAGTTCTTAAAAACAAACAATGGCTGACCTCACGTAGTGTCATGGGTTGAATTCTGTTTCCCCATACTATGAGTCAGCTTGACTCGGTCGTGATTCTCAGTGGTTTGCCGTTATGTGATGACCCCTCATGGTCTGTTCTGAAGTGATACACCAATGACAAGACGAAGGTGGGCCGCAGTACCTTAAATGCCATCATAACCACCATCTGATGTAAGGCACTTTCTCAGGGCTGTGGCCCGCAACACCTTTGACCTCACAAGAGGTAAAAGGAGAGAGACGTGAGCAGAGAAGGAGGGGAAACCACTGCCCCAAGATAGAAGCGCCCCGAGTGGAAATGCTTGTCATGTTTGAGCCCATTGTTGTTGCCACTGTGACAATCCAGCTCATTGAAGGTCTTCCTCATTTTCACTGACCCTCCACTTTACCAAGCACAATGTCCTGCAAGGGCACGATGTCCTCAAGGGACTGGTCCTTTCTGACAACATGTCCAAAGTAGGAGATACTAAGTGTCGCCATTCTCGCTTTTAGGAGAATTC